AGTAAAATTTTGAGAAATAATTAAATGTTTTTTAGCAAAATTTGGTACAAGTGATCTACGAAGAGAGTTACAGAATTCAACACTAATTACTATTCTTAGGTCTTTTACTAATTACTACTAACTGCACTGAAATTGACAGGTCACAGGTTCGACTTTCCGTTCATGTGATTTTCCGAGATCTATAGTCCCCGAACAAAAAGGCATATTTATGTTTAAATTTGTTCGTATTTAGGGTTAGAAAGGGCTACCTAGTAGCAAAATTGCATGATGAATGTTTTTTTATTAGAACCCCAAAGGCAGTTTACTAATGAAAGTTTTAAGATAAACATGATTTTTGCAAAATGAACATTTGTTAATTTCTTTACGTTACACCAGATCTTGGTTTTTAATTGGCCAATTGATCTCGAAAAATCACGTGAACGGAAAATCGATCTTGTGCCCTGGCACTGTTTAACTGCACTAGTCTATTATTCAAGTGCGCCTGGGTTTCAATCGACTTTCGGGTTCAGAATTTCAGGATCACATATCACGGGATCATGATTTGGGGTAATTACATATGTAAGTTTATTAACAATACAAGCTTAATTAATTTTTAAAAATTTATATAAATAGGGTTTAAATTACTAATACGGTTCTCTTTCTTTTAATGTACTAATGATGGGGATAAGAAAACTACTATTACTATCGAATCGACGATCACGATTATTATGTTTTTTAGTAGTTTAGAACTCCAAAGGAAAGTTATTCTTTATTGGCAGCGAAACTTTTGAGTTTAAATACTTTTTCTCTTTACTAATTTATTACAAAATTTTCTGCCATATCTACCTTTAATACTACTAGTACTGCTATTGCTACCAGTACTGCCAGTACTGCTACGTATTATTACTACTAGTTTTGGCAGTTTTTCTTAATCAATTTTAGTTAGATAGCTCCGAACCACTTCGGCTGGTACGCTGTGTTGCATGTAAATTTAATGCAAAAAATAAAGTACGTATATCATGTAGATTCTATTTGTTTGCAATATATATTTGTTATAATAGCAAGATAACAAGATAACAATAAATATATATTGTTAACTATACTGCTTAATCTAATTTATTAAAACCCTAACTAATATTTATTATATTATAGTGGTAGTTGTAGTACAAATAGTATACATTGATATGTATGTACTGTACATACGGCTCTAACCCTTCTGCATGTTAATTTTAGATACTATATACCTATAAATTTATGTGCATATTCTGTATTAATGATTTTTTCTTTTATGTTTAGATCGATATCAAATTTCTTTATAAATTCCCTCCTAATAATTTCTTGTTGTGCTCCTTCAATGATTCATTCTCATAATAAAAGTAGATTATTGGATAGTTTTGCTACTAAATTATAACTATAAAAATCAAGCAAATAAATAGCATTGCGGAAATTTAGCCTTTTCGAAGCATAATGGTTTCCAACTGTGGGATGAGTATAAATATAGAATACTTTTCCATATTGCTTTGCTATTCCGTTGTATTTTAGCTTCTGTCTTCATTGCTTACTTAGTTGGAAGATTCTATTAATTTGATGAACGTACTTTTGGGCTCATTCCTTTGTTGAAATAAAGTTTCTTTTTTGACTAGGTTATTCATATTTAAGTATGTTATTCGATTTGGGCTAATAGGCAACTAAGCGTTATTATTTCAATTAAAAAAATGAATTTTATTTTATTAAAGATTAATAAGGTGAAACATTTTTAGTGTTTAATTTGGTTATTCTTTATTAAAAGTAAGCTTTGGTCACTTTTATACTTTAAATTACAATCTATTTATCAGTACACTTTCTATAATATTATTTCTTTATATATACTATTTTATCGATTTATAAAATTTAAACTAGTTTTTAACTCAATATTAACATTAATAAAAGATAAATTATTTAATATTGATATAGTAATAATAATAAAGATTGATTACTGATAGCTTGGGCTAGTTCTTCGAGGCTGACATTTAAAGGAATTAGTAATTCTTATCAGATAGATTATTTAATATTGATATAATAAAAATCAGTTATCATATAATATCAGAAATATCTTAAAGGTGGTACAACTCAAAATTCAAGTTATCATTAGTGTTAATAATTGATAAATTATTTAATTAAAATTGATTACTGTATACTACTGACTGTTTAATTTATTTATCTATCAGAACTATATTAAAGCTAAAAATTGATTACTGTATATTATTCAATTTTAAATATTGATATCAATGTAGTATATGGGGTACTATAGTCAGTAGCATATAGTAATTGAGAAGTTGGCTAAGTTGGCAACTAATTGATTTAAAATTTTTGAAGCAGCTATAACTATTAAATTATTATCTAATTTGATCACTAATTTAATAAACTTCACTAAAATTTAAGATAGTCAAAGTATATTTACAACTAATATTGTGAAAAATTGTATAAAATACATGAATATAAACTTAAAAATACATTCACTCATGTTATATTTGCTTATATTCAATAATACTCGCACTACTTTTACTTTATAATCACTCTATTTCTTTCATTCATAATCACAATCATTCACTATTAAACTGTTCTTTTATTCTATTCCATTCTGATATTTATATTCGACTTATTTAATATAAAAATAAAAGAAATAAAAATGAAAGAAATTTGTGAAGTTATACGATCACAAAAAGGACAAACCAAATTAAATATTAAAGGGTATCTAATGGTCAAGGTGCGAAATAGAAGAAGTAGATATTACTAGTGCTGCGAATACCGAAAGTCGAAGAAATGTAACAGACATACATCAACATATTTAATTAAGAACTTGCATTATCTACAAGAAATGGATGGTCATAATCACCTGCCTGATGCTACCCATTCGAAAGTCATAAAAGCTGTTACTGAAATTAAAAAACATGCATCTGAAAGTAGAGAAAAACCTATACAACTTATTCAAAATTTTATGGCTAATATCTCCGAGGATGTTCAACCATTTATGCCATCACTTGACGCACTTCGTCAAATAATTTTTCATTCTAAACCAATAGAGAAAATACCACAATCACATAATGTTCTAGAAATTAATATCTTATCTTCATTGCATGTTACTTTAAACGGTGATTTTTTTTTAATTAAAGATCTCATAGTCGACCAAAGTAGAATTCTCATATTTTCTACAGATAAAAATATTAGACGTTTATCCAAAGCTCCCTATTGGATTATGGATGGTACGTTTAAAACAGTTTCAGCTGTTTTTTTATCAACTTTACACCATCCACGCGCTGGTCAGTCCTGAAGATAACTCCAGAATTTTGCCATTAGTATATGCTCTCTTGACAGGCAAATCTGAAGCAATATATAGTTGTGTAAGTGATGAGAATTTTATATCAGGTGACCTCAATTATGGCACCTAGGTTCAATAACCGATAGCTCATTTGACTGACATCACATAAGGTTAAGAATAGCATTTTATTAGTTGCTGGTATATATTTTTAGTAAATTGTCACTTGACGTGATGTCGGCTAAGGAGCTGTTGGTAAAATAATATGGATCTCTCAATTAGAGATTATAACTAAAATAATTTAAAAAATTTTATCACTACATATAGGTGTTTATTCAATAAATTATCTGAATTTGCCAGTCAAATAAATATCCAATTAGATCCAAAATGGATAATTACAGATTTTGAAAAAGCAGCCATTAATACATCATGGTGTGAGTTTCCTAATGCAGTGAACAAAGGATGCTTTTTTCATTTATGCCAAAGTGGATGGCGTAAGATTCAGGCACATGTATTAGTCACTTTATATGGAAATAATATTTATTTTAGCCACATGATTCAGCATTTATTTGCCTTGGCATTCTTACTATCAGATCAAATTCCTGATGCTTTTGATATTCTAAAGGTGAGTATGCCTTCAGAGGCAAATGATGTGACTCAATGGTTCGAAAAAAATTATATTAGAAGATGACGTCAGCTGCAAACTGAAGCCACAATCTCCTGTGAATTACCCTTATTTAAACCACAGTTTTGGTCTGTTTACGAATCAGTAGAACTGAGCATTCCACAGACGCAAAACTCTGTGGAAGGCTGGCATAATAGGTGGAATATTTTAGTTGGAGGACCACATATAAGTTTACATACATTGATAAATGAATTGCAAAAAGAGCAAAAAAACGTTGATGTTCAGGTTGAGCAAATTCTTATAGAAGAACAAAGACCCAAACTAAGCAGACCTTATATTAAAAAAGAAAGAAGAATCCTGGCGATTTTTAATGATCGTGAAAATCGATCAGTGATGAAATATTTGCATAGTATTGCAGATAATCTTTCTTCATATCTTTCTTTGTAATGCTAAAATTTTTCTTTATTATATATTATTTTATGTTTTATTTCCTTATGTTTCTTGTTATAATGATTTTTTTTTTGTAAAGTTTTATTATTATTCATTTGTTTTTATTCGATAAAATTAATTTTTCTATCATATAATATCATTGCTATAAATAATAAATTTAAAATTGTATTTTTTACAGTTATTTATTTATTTATTACGAACTTTTCATTTTGCGAGATAGGTTAAATATAATCATTTGAGTAAGAATTACTACCACTACAAAAAAGTATACAAATAAATTATGTATTTTATTAATATATTACTTTTATTGCATATTCATATAACACTATATATATTTGTGTAATACTTATGCATATTACTGCATCATAATAAGTTATAAGAAATAAAAACGTTTAAAAATTTAAACCTTTATGTCGATATGGCTGAATGAATTTTTTCATAATGAACGTTGGTTATAATACAAGTAATTAATTATAGATTTTTAGATTCCTATTTTATTTTAGTATAGTAAATTAAAGAGCTCAGAAAAACATGTATGTTTAAGAAAATATATTTGTTCTTTACTAATTTTACAGATATAAGTTTTATTGATGATCTTATAATAATGTAAATCCAAAAACTAGAAAATGTGCTTCAATGATCTCAGAAGAAACCTATAATATCATCATGAAGAATTTGGAAAAACTTAATTCTGCTATCATTTACGATAAAGATTATAATTATATCTATTTTGGAATCAAAATACTTGAAAGATCCTATCTTTTGTGAACTAATGGAAAAGTAGCTGAAAGGCCACAACACATACTTATGCATGGTCATTGGTATTTATGGCGAAGACATCGATGTAGCAGTTGAAACCTACAACCTAATGTTTGAAAATATTTTACACATGCACCACCTACCTTTATTAATGCTGGAACCCTGGAATACCAACTCCATAATCTCAACTTTCAAGTTGTTTCCTTTTGACAGTAAAAGATGATTCAATTGAATGCATCCATGAGACATTGAAGGCATATGACACGATTTCAAAAATGGTTGGCGGTATTGGCTTGAAGATTCATAATATTAGAGCATCTGGATTTTACATCTCAGAAGCTAATGGTATTTTATGCACTTTGAATCTTGGATTTTTGATTTATTTATAAAATGTGTCATATCTGATGGTGTTTAGAGTATTTATGATCTAGCAGAGGCATCTGAACTTATGGACATGTAGGGAGATGAATTCAAGGTAAGATCATAAGATATAGTATCGAATATATAATTATTAAGTCACTTAATAATTTTGATAGTGTTAGGATTCAGGATTCTGATTGTGTTGAGATTAGTGATGGGTGATTACTTATCTATTAGATTAGTATTAATAGCAATTACTTATGAGAATCGATAACAAATATTTAAAAATCAAATATTTTTTAATATGTTTCTATTTATTTTCAAATTAATACAAATTCAACCAAATTATATAATATTAATCAAGCATTCAATAACAAAATTGAACACATGACCTAATAAGCCTCGTGTCATGTAATATTCAATGGGTTTTCAAAATTAATATCAATATATTAATTGGTGTATTTTTAATAACAACTATGCAATGATGATATGTAACAACAATAAACAGCCCTATATTAAGAATAATAATTTCTATTTAAAAAATTTCATTAAATAAATTACATCATAGTTATTGTAACCTATACAAATATCGAGAGCTTAAAATTCTAAATTATGATTACTTATTTACCAAAAATTTAGATAGTATCCATTAATATTAAATAATCAATTTAGTCCATCTCTAGTCAAAATTCTGATGGTGTCGGGATTCTGATGGCATCAGGATTCTGATGGCATCAGGATTCTGATGGCGTCGGGATTCTGATGGTGTCAAGATTCTAATAGTATTGGGATTCTGTTGGTGTTGAAATTCTGATATTGTCAGGATTCTGATGTTGTTGGGATTCTGATAGTATCAGGATTCTGATGGTATCGGGATTCTGATGTTGTTGGGATTCTGATGTTGTCAGGATTCTGATGGTGTCAGGATTCTGATGTTGTTAGGATTCTGATGGTATTAGGATTCTGATAGTATCGGGATTCTGATGGTGTCGGGATTCTGATGGTGTCAGGATTCTGATGGTGTCAGGATTCTGATGGTGTCAGGATTCTGATGGTATCAGAATTCTGATATTGTCAGGATTCTGATGGTGTCAGGATTCTGATGATGTCGGGATTCTGATGGTGTTGGAATTCTGATTGTGTGGGATTCTGATGGTGTTAAGATTCTGATGGTGTCGGAATTTTAAATATCGGGATTATAAATGTCAGAATTTTGATACTGTCGGGATTTTAATTTGTTGGGATTTTATACTTTGGGATTTTAATTTGTTGGGATTTTGTACTTTGGAATTCTGTTGTCGAGATTTTAAACGTTAGGATTTTATATGTCAGGATTCTGAAGTATAACCTATCTGCAGTGCAGAGTTGTTCGAGATATATAATATTTGATTGTCTAAGTTGCTTTTTAAAAGTTAGATATTTTGGATGCTATGATAGAATAAACTCTAGTAATTGGCCACCATTACTAATTGTATTAGGCCATGTCAAGTTAGAATTAACTGAGATGGTTAATCTAAGATAGGAAAGAAGTTGAGTAATTTTAAAATTTAGTAAGTGTTTATTAGGACCATCTATAGTAGATTTGGGGTGATGTAATATACTAGTAAAGGATTATAAGTTGTTTTGTAATTGTTGAAGTCTAATTTGAGTTGTAATACCAAGAAGGTCAAGATTGTTAATTCATTAGAGATAGTTAGAGATATAGTATTGAAGTTGAATATCTCAGATATTATGTATATTGTATAGAAAAGGATTATTATTAATAACTTTTTTGATAATATAATTCTATAAACCATTACAAAAAAAATGTACAATTGACTATATATGTAATGTTTCTATATTATCTATTTAAGGAGTCCACCTGAAAGTTCCTCATTAATTGCTATATCTAACACCTTTGCTTAAGTATTCTATTTTAAACCCTTTGAACCTGCATCTGTATTAATATTACTAAATTAAGCTCAGGTCATTATCTCAACTTTAGGATTATTTTATTCTTAAAATAAACCTTTTGTACTCATTTTTACAGTTGATTTAGATATTATTATAGCAGAACTAACACTTGCAATCAGTGTTATATTATTTAACTATTATGCTCTTGTAGAGTTTATTTGAACCTTAGCATCTACTTCCTAGCATACTCTCAGTACTTTAGTATACTGTCTTTTTATCAAACTCTGAATTTAGATAACTTGTATAAAACTATAACTAGTATATTGGTATATTAAGTTAGCCTAATATCCTTTTTTTGATTTATTTTAATGGCCTAATTAGTAATATCTTTGAAACTTCTAATTCAGAGGTTCTTGCCTATTTGAGTACTACAATTTTGATATCTGTTTTCTTAAGCTAGCCTTTATAATAGTATCATTAAAAATTTGTACTATTTCTCTACTTGAATTTTCTTAAATAGACTTTTTGTTTACTAATTTTAGTAGATTTACATAGTTATAAAAACTTATTTAGAGTTTGCAACACCTAATACCAGTTTGCATTTCTCTATTTAACTAGTTATACAGATATCTTATAACCTGCTAGTTATGTTGATATAACTGTCATTACAGTATTCTAACCCAATCATTAGAAACAGTTATTATAATATAAATATTACATAGATAATTATTTAAATTTTTATTATTAATAAGATTAAAATATCCAACCTACTACTTAAGTGATTAACAACTTATTTATTTTACTAAGTTATCATGCTCTAAGTATAATTATTATTATATTAATAAATTATAACTATTGTTACAAAGTTGTAACCTTTTTGATATAATACAACTAAGTAATAAGATTATCTAATATAGTGATTAATTATTGCAAATATATATAGAATAGAAGTATAATAGTTTACTTTACTTTATAGCAGCAAACAAACAGTTTAAGATAGCAATAATATATAAATTAAACTTTATTAAACAAACACACTATAACAATCTTGCCTATAAAAATTATTTTTTAAAAAAAATATTACTTTTGCAACTTAGAAATAAAGATAAAAAGGTCTAAATTGAAGTATAGTATTTAGAATTAGTAAGAAAAAAAGAAAGATATCCTTTATATATTTTTTACCTATTAGGAATAATAGGAATTTGAGCAATATTACTTAATACTATACTTAGGATAGTAACGATTTAAACAATATTAGATATAATTATATTTGAAGTAGTAAAGATTCAAACAATATTAAATAATACAGTATTTGAAGAAGTATAAATTGTGCAAAAGCAACTAAGAATATTGTTTATATTATTTGTTATTTGTGTTTAAACACTTAGAGCTTGTATTTAAACATTTAAATTCATATAAAAACATTTAGAATTTGTGCAAAGATACTTGGAGTTTGTGTAGAAACATTTGAAGTTCATGTTAGAGATATTTAAAGTTCTTATACTATAGCACTTAACATAGTAATTTGGTGTTAGAATATATAAAACTTGTGTAAAAATATTTGAAATTTGTAAAATAATAGTAATATTACAAATGTTACTTAATGTTATATAGCTGTATTATATTTCTAATAGTCAATTAAGATCCTTCTATTTATTTACTATATAATATAACTATCAGCTAACTAATAACTAATAATAAATATAATATATAAAATATAATAATAAATATATATATAACTACTAATAATATTATATATTATGCTATACTAAAAATCTATTTTGTAACACTATTTTCAAATATCTTTCTTAATAAAATTATTAAATTATTTAATTATTAAAAAAATTTAACTTGTTTGTTATTTAAGAAAAATCTAAAAATATAATTATTAATTTTTTATAAACTTATACTAATTAACTAAAATTTAAATTTGTATTTATATAATAATTTTAGTATATTATTATAAAAATATTTTAATTAATTACAATAATTAAATAATATTTAATTTTTTTTTTTTAGTATTAAAGTAACCTCTTTGGTCTTTTGACTTTTATTAATCACTTATCGGTATTATGGTTCAATGAACCACTACAGGAGAGCGTACAATTGGCTACACATGTAACTTTTCTATATTACCTATTTAAGGAGTC